CAGAGTGGTGTCTGATTTTAATCTTAAACTGACCACCTCTACTGCATTATCAACAGGAATGCACGTAAAGAGTGATGTGACATCAAAAGAGACCATTGTTTCATTAGTCTCCATGATGACATCCCTCACCTTGTCCACAAAGTCCATGGTGTTCTGAGCTGCCAACTAAAGGGATGAGTACAGACGCCAGATATTTGGAAACATTGTAAGTGACAGAGTTAATCATGCTGAAAATTAGTCTTAAAGGTACACCCTGTTTGTGACTGAACATATCTATTGTGTCATATCATGAATCTAATCTATCTGTATTGATTTTCTGTGAATTTTGAAGACTTCGCTTTTTAAATGTCCCAGTTTTGGAGCTTGTAAATGTTTTCTTCTGAACCACATTTGTCGACTTGTTCGGGTTGAACATGATTTGTGTTTGAGAGTTATTATTAGTATTGAATTGTTATTATTATTATTATGAGGATCAGTTCCTCCAAATCCGAGGCCATGGTCTTGAGCCGGAAAAGGGTAGAATGCACTCTCTGGGTCGGGGAGGAGGTCCTGCCCCAATTGGAGGAGTTTTAGTATCTCGGGGTCTTGTTCACGAATGAAGGACAAATGGAGCGTGAGATCTATAGGCGGATAGGTGCAGCGTCGGCAGGGAAGCGGGCGCTGTATCGGTCTGTCGTGGTGAAGAGAGAGCTGAGTCAAAAGGCGAAGCTCTCAATTTACCGATCGATCTACATTCCTACCCTCATCTATGGTCATGAGCTTTGGGTTGTCACCGAAAGAACGAGATCTCGGATACAGGCGGCCGAAATGAGTTTTCTCTGCAGGGTGTCTGGTCTCTCCCTTAGAGATAGGGTGAGAAGTTCAGTCATCCGGGAGGGACTCAGAGTAGAGCCGCTGCTTCTTCACATTGACAGGAGCCAGTTGATGTGGCTCGGGCATCTGGTTAGGATGCCTCCTGGACGCCTCCCTGGTGAGGTGTTCCGGGCACGTCCCACCGGGAGGAGACCCAGAGGTAGACCCAGGACACGCTGGAGGGACTATGTTTCTCGGCTGGCCTGGGAACACCTCTGGATTCCCCCGGAGGAGCTGGACAAAGTGGCTGGGGAGAGGAAAGTCTGGGCCTCCCTACTTAGGCTGCTACCCCCACGACCCGACCCCGGATAAGCGGAAGAAAATGGATGGATGGATATTATTATTATTATAAGTATTGGTAGTAAAATTATGTGGTTATTCTGCAAAGGTGAGAAATATTCTGATGTTTGTTGGTTGAATGTTGGTGAACAGATCAGTAAAGGTGAATTGCACCTTGTCTGACCTGTTTAAACAACAGTACAATTACTGCTGTACTCGGCCTTCATTTATGAGTTGTATGGGTACTTTCTTCTTCTTCAAGTTGGTGTAATGTCTGTAAGTTTCAGCTGAAGGTTAAATCTGACAGGACTTTCTTGTGAACTCTTGGTTTTAACTCTTTCTTCCCTGGACATTCTTTCCAGAGGAACTGTAACTGATTTTCAGATGAACTCATTAGGTTGCTACTTTTTGTCTGTTTATCTTCTTCTCTTTCACTGGAGGAAAAAATAGAATTGTTTAATAATGTTACACATTCGTATTTTGTTCTGACTTGTAGCCAGGTTAGGGCAGAACGTGTCACCATCAATTTAAAATACTTGTTGCCGTTGTCCGAGCCTGGCCAGCATCCAGTTCTGGGAGGCCACAGTTTTGCATAAATATCTTTAGTAGCGTTTTGACTCACCGTGTTGTTCTCAGCTGCTCCACACTTGGCGTGAGTGCATGTGTAAACAGAACGGTCTACTCGAGGAAAAAACGGGGTCCACTCGAAAGTAAAGCAGTTTTAGAAATAAAACCCATCTTAAAGATAGATTTGTTCTTTATTTTTGTTGCGAGTTTGACAGTTCCCTCTCTTTTGATCACAGGCTGCTTTGTTGTTTGGTGAGGAGTACAAGTGAAATAGACGAGTTATGTAAGGAGCTGTGCTTCTTGATGGAAAGGAAGCGACAAAAAAAACATTCAAAAGTAGGGCAAAAACCAGCAAACTGTTTTATTAACTGTGAATTAGCTGTAATAAAACAAGGCTAGGAGAAAAACAGATAAAGAGTTATATAACTCCCGCTGGTGACGCAAAATTCTCTTTCATTTAAGAGTTCGAGTTTTGAATTAAAACTGTTTACCAGACGACTTATTCATTAAACATCATGCACTTAACTTACCCTCTTTATTTTATTTTTTTATTCCTTCTGCACTGCTGTCTTGTCTATTGTTTTTGCTCTGCTGTCCTTGCTTCAACTTTTTTTGTGCTGCTTTCATTTATTTATTTATTTATTCTCCTTCACTTCTCATCACTTCATTTCACTTTTCAATCCAATCCCAGCTTATTTTTGTACTTAATTATTTGTCTCATTTTATACGTCTGTCAAAAGACAAGACGTATTATGGTATAATGTTTGTGAACTTGTCCCGCACATAACTTCTGATCCGCTCAAGATAGTTTAATGAAACACACATGGATCTTCACTAGTTGCTATCCCCCCAGCTTCCATATGGTCACAAATGAAGGTCAAAGATAAAACAAGGTTTTTGCTTGTCTGGGTTATTGCTAATAGATTTCCGTAGTGTTATATGATAGTTTGTTGATGGTTCTATAATGTACTGTATGCTGTATACATGTTTAACCATTTAATGGTCTACTGTACTGGTGCCACAGCGTTCCTCTTTGTTTTCTGCAGACCCTGTGGTGCTGGGCAGAGCGTAATGGCTCAGACGCTGCAGATGGCAATCCCTAACTTTGGCAACAATGTCCTGGAGTGTCTGAATGAACAGCGATTGCAGGGCCTCTACTGTGATGTGTCTGTGATCGTCAAGGGGCATGCCTTTAAGGTAAGATTTGATCAGTACAAGGTCGTGGAGTGGGTCTGAGACCTGGCTCTACTGTGTTTAGAACCCCAGTTTCTTTACATGGCGTGAACATTTACCAGTTTAAGTACCCGATGTCCCAACTTTCAATAAGTTTGGCTTTGTGAAATTTAGCAGTTGCTG